AATGATGACATCTTTGGATCTGCTGGCAATGCTCCTCTTAATGCAACCTAATATGCCATTAGCCTTCTTGGCTACAAGGGCACACTGTTGACTCATATCTAGCTTCTCATCCACTGTAACCCCCAGGTCCTTTTCTGCAGAACTACTACTTAACCGGTTGGTCTCCAGCTTGTAACTATGCTTGGGATTCTTCCGTCCCAAGTGCAGGACTCTACACTTGTCCTTGTTAAACCTCATCAGATTTCTTATGGCCCAATCCTCCAATTTGTCAAAGTCATTCTGTACCCTATCTCTGCCCTTAAGCGTATCTACCTCTCCCCCCAGCTTAGTGTCATCCGCAAACTTGCTGAGGGTGCAATCCATCCCCTCATACTTGCAGGAGGCATTAGGGATCTGTTGAAAAAGGCTTTCTTTCTCGACAGATCACCCTCTAGACTGCCGCTTTTTGCTGACAAAGTGCTGAGTTGGCAAAATGTGGTGGCCATTTTTATGCAAATTAAGCATGATATATTTAAACCCCTGCCTCCTTTGCCATGTCGACCTGCCTAATCTGCATCCCTCTGCCGACAGAGGGATGCAGTCTAAACTTACCCTAACTCTTCACAATCCGCTTTGGACTTAATTATCTGTAGTACTTTTGTATCATAAGCAAATTTTACCATCTCTCTGTTCACTCTCTTTCCCAGATTATTTATGAACATGTTGAACAGCTAGGGTGACCAGACAGCAAGTGTGAAAAGTCAGGGTAAGTGTGAAAAAACTGGGACATCTGATCAGCACAGGTCCCAGTAAAGATCTTTGGTAGAACCTTTTATTTATCTTTCACCACTGTAAAAACTGCCCATTTATTTCTTCTTTTTATTTTCTCTCTCTTAACCAGTTACTGATCCATGATAGGACCTTTCCCTTTATTCAGTGACTATTTTTAAGAACCTTTCATTTGTAATGTCAAAAGCTTTCTGCAAAATCAAAGTATACTGTATTAATCATCTTTGTCCACATCTTGGAGGCTCCCTCAGACAATTCTAATAGATTATCGGACCATGATTATAAAAGTTATGTTGGCTCTTTACATCTTGTACATCTGTGAGTCTGAAAATTATTTGTCTGGTACTGAAGTTAGGCTTACTAGTCTGTAATTACTATGATCAATTCTGAAGCTGTTTTAAAAATGAGCGTTAAGTAAGTCTCCTCTAGTCATCTGGTACAGTGGCTTACATACTACAGGCAAGTTTTCTGTAATTTCATATTTGAATTCCTGCAGAACTCTTCAAAATATCATCTGGACATGGTGACTTACTGCTATTTAATTTATCCATTTGTTCTAAAACCTCTTCTTATTACTTTCATTTTTATTATTATTTTGAGCTTCTGTTAAGGTGTTTATAAAATAGTTTCCATGCAGCTTGCAGGCATGTCACTCCTGTGACTGTTCTCATTAATTTTCATTTAACTAGCTCTCTCATTGTTGTGCCATTCCCTTTTTGAGTTTATTTCTACTCTGATGGTGGGTTTTTTTTATATTGCTGCCACCCCATTCCTGCAAAGATATTATATTTAACTAGCTGGAGTTACCCAATGTTGCTCGGGAAAGCTGATATAACTGAGGTAAGGAGCCTGAGGGGAGGGAAGGGGAAGAGAGCCGCGCACCTGCTGCCGGCGCCCGAGCCCGTCCTCCGCTTCCTTGTCTCTCCGCCGGCCTGTCCCCGCCGCTTCCCCTGAAAAGCCACTTCTCCCCACACTGCCAAGCTCCGTGCAGCCCCGGGGAGAGGCATCAGTCTCTCATCTCTTCCTTCCCACAATCCCTTAAAACCTTCTCCTGGATGACAGGTTATCCCTCCGACAGCCTTAGTGAGCGACTGTCCCCGCTGCTTCCCCCAGGAAGCCACTTCTCCCCGCACTGCCAAGCTCCGTGCAGCCCCGGGGAGAGGCATCAGTCTCTCATCTCTTCCTCTCACAGTACCTTAACCTTTCATCCAGGAGAAGGTTTTATCCCCTGCAAAGTGCACAAACATTCTCCTTTATATATTATAGATTATCCTCTGACAACTATTATTGAGTGGTTCAACTTTTGCAACATTTTGGACCACATTGTGTATTCCATTTAGGGATGTAAGAATATAGCCATTTAATGGGGTTACCGATAAGCATAAGCTTATCAATTACCCAAACAGTTACACGTTGCTCCTGGACCTACTCAAAGGGAATTGCCTGCCAACCTGCATTGCTGCCTCTGATATAGAGGCTGCAGTACAGGGTGGCAGGTGGGAGCTGGTATGTGTAGGGAGCTGGCTTAAAAGGCTCTATCTCTGTATCACAGGCAGCAGCCAGCTCCCGGAATGTGTGCTGGCTCCTGGGAAGCTGGCTGCCATTCCTCATGTAACCACTGACATTTTCAGCAGTTACACTGTTAGCCAATTACACACATTTTAACATCCCTAGTTCCATTTAGAACTAAATTCAGAATTGCCCCACATGTTGTGAGTTCTAGGAATTAGGGATGTAAAATCCAGTTTAATCAGTTAACCCCATGTTTCTCAAACTGTGTGTCCCGACCCCCCGGGGGGTTGCGAACAATTTAGAGGGGGTATCACAAAGTTTGAGAACCCCTGAGTTAACCGGTTAAACACTTAGGCTGTGTCTAGACTGGCAAGGTTTTCTGCAAAATCATCTGCTTTTGCGGAAAAACCTGCCAGCTGTCTACCCTGGCCGCTTGAATTTCCGGAAAAGCACTGACAATCTCATGTAAGATCTCATGCTTTTCCGGAAATACTATGCTGCTCCTGTTCGGGCAAAAGTATTTTTCCGAAAGACTTTTGTGCAAAAGGGCCAGTGTAAACAGCACAGTACTGTTTTCCGCAAAATGGCGATCGGGGCTTTTTTTGCGGAAAACTGCGTCTAGATTGGCCACGGACGCTTTTCCGCAAAAAGTGCTTTTGCAGAAAAGCATCCTGCCAATCTAGACGTGCTTTTCCGAAAATCTTTTCCATTAAAAGCATTTTCGGAAAATCATGCCAGTGTAGACGTAGCCTTAGACGGAGACAGGCAGGAACTGCTCTGGCCAGACTGGAGCGCCCCTGCCCGCAGTGCACTGTGGGGAGCTGCTCTAGCCAGGCTGGAGCAGCCCCCTACCCGTGGTGAGCAGGGGAGTTGCTCCAGCCTCCACTGATTAACCATAGTCAGTAAGCATCACAAAGCAAGGCTGATGCTAACCGATTAACCTTCACATCCCTACTAGGAATCCCCGCTCCAAGAAGTCATTAATGGGATCCAGAAATTTTCTCATTTTGAGATTACATGTACCCTGTCAGTACTAAGATAGTTTTAATACCCTCCTTTATGATTGAGCTCTCTGTTTTTGTTGCCTCTCTAATTCCTTGAGCATTTCACTATCACCATCACTATCCTGATCAGGCAATCAGTAGTATATTCCTACTGCTATAAGCATACAATTTCTATCTACAGAATTTCTATGATGTTTCTTGTATTTGACTCTATGCTTTCTTTCACATATAGCACAACTCTCCCAGCAGGTGAAATTACTCTGTCACTCCTATATATTTTGTGCCCTTATTACCATGTCCCATTGATCATCAGCATTCCATCAAGTTTGTTGTGTCTATTATATGAATATCCTCAGTCTGTTACTATTAATAATTACCATGCTAACTGGAAATAATTATTCTCATCCTTTATTTTTTGTATTGATTGAATCCCATGCTATCTTTGCTATTTTTGAGCTGGGATTTTGGTCAGAGCAGATGCTCGTGATTGCCTTTTTGGCATATTCATAGAATCATAGAATAATAGGACTGGAAGGGACCTCGAGAGGTCATCGAGTCCAGCCCCCCACCCTCAAGGCAGGATCAAGCTCCGTCTACACCATCCCTGACAGATGTCTATCTAACCTGTTCTTAAATATCTCCAGAGAGGGAGATTCCACCACCTCCCTTGGCAATTTATTCCAATATTTGACCACCCTGACAGTTAGGAATTTTTTGACATATCATTAGCATTCTTCTAGTTTTATACACTTCCCAACATTCCAAGATTTAATACAAATTAACATCAACAAGACAGCAATCTCATACGGCATCTTTTTTTAGGGCTCATATGTGTATATTATTCAAGCCTGCTACTTAAAAACATTAAACCCTAATAAATACTGCTGAACATTTTTCATAGCTACTAATAGACTTGGAACATACTTCCTTGTGCCCCAGTGATGAGTAAACCATCCTACTTCTTTCTAAATGTATTTGAGAAATATCTATTGAACATGTCTGCCTTTTCTGCACCATTATTAACAAATTTACTATCTTAAATTAGTAATGAGTCTATATCTTCTGTTCCCAGTGTGATTAGAAACATCTAGTCAATGTAATTTTCCTTAGTCCTGCTAGCCATGGATTTTGATATCTTTAGTCTTCATTAGTAGTTTTCTATCTTTCATAATTTCTAGTTCATAGTGAGCATGAGCTACTTTCCCCCTCCCCAAAATATATTATGTTTCTCCTTTCTAACTGCTGCCTTTAACTCTTATGGGCTTTTATCCAAAGTTGGCCTGATTTGTAACTCTGGAACTGTAGCTTTATCATCTCAGTGGTGCTGGAATTATGCTCAAGGTGCTGTTCCCCTCTCCCCAGATTGAAACAGTAACAACAAAAATCCAATAGATGGTTTCCATGTTTCTCATCAGCATCTCCCTTAACCACTACAAAAATTGTTCCAACACCCCCATTAACTCTACTTAAGCAAATTTTCGCTATGCCTTTGTTCTCCAGTTTCACTCTTCATTTTCTCTCACATTTGGCCAGAGTCTCCCTGCAGCACCATACCGACAGTGGGTGGGACTGCTGAAGGATGCAACCGCGAGAACTACATATGCTGCCGCTGCATCCAGACACCCAGCTCCCGGATACAGCAGGCGGGGCCCGACAGCCCCCGGCAACCCCCCGCCCTCTGCGAGTGCCTGTCGCAGAGGGGTCGCAACCTCCTACCCAACTTTCGTCCCAGTGCGGAGCGGCTTTAAGCCACGGCTCTGATCCGTAGGACGCGTCCGTGGGGGAGGGGCGTGGCCCCCGTACACCTGACAGCCAATGGGGCTGCCTCCGGCCTCGG